ATAGCAAATAATGAAAATCTTAGGATAAAATACTTCCCAAGTTCTCTAACGAAGAACGCTTTCACTTGGTTCACCACCTTGCCCTCTGGATCTGTGGACACATGGTCTTATTTAGAAAGACTTTTCCATGAACAATTTTACATGGGTCAGTCTAAAATTAGTCTCAAAGAATTAGCAAACATTAAGAGAAAATTCACGGAACCAATAGATGATTATTTGAATAGGTTCTGTTTATTAAAATCTAGATGCTTCACAGTGGTTGCTGAACATGAATTGGTCGAAATGGCTGTTGGGGGCCTAGATTATTCCATTCGAAAGAAATTGGATACACAGTATCTTATAGAGATATGGCCCAACTAGCAGACAGAGTTCGTCAGGTCGAAAGGTTAAAAGTTGAAAAGGCTATGGATAGTAAAAATCATAAGAAAGAGAGAATAGCCTACATAGAGGCTGAAGAGGAGAACATAGATGATTCTCAAAACCCTTATGATTTCAATCAGTTCGAAATAGATCTTGCAAAACTAAAGGAAGCACCCCTTATGCTTGCAAAGTTCTGTTTCCTTCCAATGGAAAGGATTCTGTCGAAAGTGAAAAGAATGATAAATTCCCTAAGAAAATCTATACTTTCGATATAACTAAATGTGATGAAATATTTGATCTGCTTGTTAAAGATGGCCAGTTAATAGTTCCTCCTAACCTTAAGATTCCTCCGTTGGAACAAAGGAAGAAGAGGGGCTTTTGTAAATATCACAACTTTTTAGGCCATAAAACCTCACAATGTTTTCTTTTCAGGGATCTGATATAAAACGCAATCAAAGATGGCAGGTTGAAGTTCTCAGACAAAGGGAAGAATCCAATGAAAGTTGATACGGATCCATTGTTGATGGAGGAGACTAACTATGCTGAACCTCTGAACATCAATGTAGTAGAAATTGCTGAGAGGAAAGTTGAATCGAAAGTGGAATTCGAAGAGGACGGGGACTTCATCTTGATTAAGAATGAAATAGAGGCTACTGATGGCCTCCCAAAGGTGCTCAAAGCAAAGATACTACGTGACAAAAAATTAACTGAGGCCACTGAGGGTCTCAGGATGAAGTTTGAAGAAGTCAAAATTTCTGATGGTCAAATGCTGGGAGTAAATATGGTGGACTTCGAACAGCCCAACGCTGAAATGGAAGAAGTGGAACGCTGTTTGGAGAGGCAGAGAGAACAAAGAAGAGAGAACTTACCTAGAAAAGACGCGAGTTTGCGCGAATACCTCTTCCACTGTTATAAGAAAAACCAAGATAAGTTATTGTGCCCAAGGTGCAGCATCATCTGCAACCCCAGAATTACTGCTGAGTTCGAAAGGGCCCAGTGCGAACGAACAGGGGTCAACTGGAGGCAAGACAACCAACTGTACAGAGTCTATCCAAAAACTGATGAAAGTCTACTAGAATTCTTGGTTTGTTGCCACAAGATTGGAACAGAGTGTTTAATATGTCCCAGATGTGCAGCGATGTATGATAAAGAAATGGCTGAAGCGTTCGAGAAAATTCCGTTTGCATCAGGCTGGGGGCACCAAGGCAGAATGCCTTCGAATCCTGTTAACACTGGCAGAAATATGCCAAGGAGGCCAGATAGCCCTTACCCCAAAGGAGCAAAGAAAGTTTCCTTTAAACTACCTGCAGAAATCCCCACTGACAGATGGCTGCAGGTGAAGGCTGATAAGGGAAAAGGGAAGTGGCGCAACTATGACCAAGGAGGCAGGACTGCGATGGCTTACAGGAAGCAATTCAATTCAAATAGGAGGGAAGAAATAAGACTGGAGAATTACAAAGGCAAAAATCCAATGTCTCGCTCTCAATGGCGCAGACACCAGAGAAACAAAAAAGCTGAAAGGGATTCGAAGCCTATGGGGATAGGAGAATCTAGTACCAATAACCCAACATCAGTGAACCAGACTGGGGGCAAACCCCCAGTGTCCATGAAACTTTTTTCACCAAAGAAAGACACTGAAGAAAATAAGACTCAGCAAGAGGCTGCAAACAAAGAGGACTTGATGACTGATGACTTCGAATCGGAGGGGGAATCCTTCTTTAATGCAAACTGCAATGTAGTTTTGGTGCTGCCTTGTGAGTACAATCAGGATACAGAGGTTTATGCTGGTGAGGAGACTGACGAGGACGAAATGGCCAAACATAGGCCAATGTGTTATTATGTGATGAACAATGGAGCGGTCGAAGAGAAAAACGCTTTCTTCGAAAAGCCAGACGAAGGAATGAAGAACCATCTAAAACCCTTATTCATCAGGGCAAAGGTGGGGCAATATGGTGTGAACAAGGTTCTGGTGGATGGTGAAGCTGCTGTTAATTTGATGCCTCGATTCATTCTAAAAAGGATATGCATGCAGGATTCAGATGTTAGACCTCACAACATGGTGCTTTCGAATTATGAAGGAAAGGTTGGTAAGACTTTAGGAGTAATACAAGTTAACTTGACAGTTGGTTCCCTCACAAGACCAACAATGTTTATGGTCATTGCTGCGAAGGCAAACTACAATCTGTTGCTTGGCAGGGAATGGATCCATGGAATTGGCGCAATGCCTTCTTCGATGCATCAAACGTTGGTGTTATGGAGAGACGATGGAATTGTCGAAAACATAGAAGCAGACCAAAGTTACTATATGACAGAAATCAACAACGTGGACAAAAGAAACTTCAATCGAAATATGACCAACATAGGGCCATGTCACCCGCCTGAGGAATATTTCGAGCCCAATGAGAACGCTTACTATTCTTTAACCCTTCATCCCAATGGATTCCAATGGGATAGGGAAATCATGTGGGACGGGCAGGAGATTGAAGAAGATGAAGTGCTTTTATAGCCTTCCTCAACGGTTTAAAGGTTTTTGACCTTTGAAAAAAGGTGGGATACGTGTAACTCCCTCATTGGAAAGAGAAAAGGTGGATTTTTTGAGCTTCCTAGGGAAGTGACGTTTTGCTGCTAATTATTAGCTATAACTGCTGTGATTGCACGTTTAGGTATGATGATTGGACGTTTTGCAGAAAGTTGGACACTTACTCTGCCATCGTGTGCAGTATTGTCATCATGAGTTTTGATACTCTCGAAATTGCATGGATAATTCAAAAACAAGTATTTCTTTATATCTATCGAAATACATGTTCTTGAGGGGCAATTTGTTAGCTGGCAATTTCGAATAAAGAATAATTGGATATCAAAACAATATTTCGAATAAGCATATAAGGAGGTTGATATCAATGATGAATATTGGTGGGAAATATAGAACCATTGTTCTAAAGGACTCTTCGATTTCCAGTGATAGATGATGGATTTCGATTTGGGATTTTTAGTGTTTAAAATATAAAGAGTTCCTTTGTGCAAATGTGCCAGAATTGGAAGCGGTCCAGGCAAATGGTTTAATTCGAATCAAAGAAAACTAGCAAAATACTTCGCTGGCACAGGGTTTGAATTTCAAATAAGAGCGCCATTCTTAGAAGACGCGTGGAAGTCAGTAAACGTAAGAAGCATGCATGCTTCGAACGTGGCATGATTTTAGAGTAGGACCGTTAGGGTCAGGATACTATAAATATATGTTTTTATGTTAGAATTGGGGTGTTCATTTTCGTGTACTAAAGAATCTCAAACACTCAAATTACCGTGACTTAAGGGAAACGAGTTAGAAGACAAAATGTACGTATTGAGCATCATGATTCTTTATAATTTCAATACAAGTCTTTTTATATTTCTTTCACTTTTACAGTACTTTTGCTTTTAAATCTTTCGATTTCCTTTTATTTCCTTGTTTTACTTGCTTTCAAACACATTTATCTCTTTAGAAACTTCACTTTTACTTTATCCTTTTGTTCAGACACTTCATATTTCCAGAAACTGTTATATTCTCAGAAACTCCTTATCTTTACATTCAAGTATTAAATCTTAAGTTTAATTCGAAGTCTTTCCTTTGTACATTCAGTCAGTTTATTTCTATAGACAATCTTAGAGACATTTCTTAAGAATCTCACATTCGACATTAACATACAATATAAATTTATCAAGATAATGGGTATGAACATTGAAATGAGTTATGACACATGTGTCCTAGGATCAATCTAGTCGATCCTGCAAGTAACCAATAATAATCAATAAATTGAAAGAATAGCGGTTGTTTACTAGAAATCACTGTAAACACCGACCCGCTTTGAGCCGGCCCGTGACGAGCTCAGGGCTTTGGAGGGTCGGGTTTAAAAGCCCAAAATTTAAACAGGCTAACATTAAGTTGTCCAAGCTCAGCCCTTCACGGGTTACGACTATTCGTGTTGGTCCGAATTATATTTAATTTTTAATTTTCAAATAAGATAAAATTAAAAAATTAATATACCATATAATAAAACTAAATTATATATGAGTATTGAGTACCAAAAGTAATATACTTTAACTACATACATAACATCTATACCTTCACATAAATATATTATTTCAATCAAATAATCAAGATTCAAGTGTAAAGAACTATTCACCCTATTTGATTTAAAAATTAAACTTCAATAAAATTAATTTATGCATAATGATTTATTAGTTATAAAATATAGAAAAAAATTAACATTTATGTTAATAATTTTTAATATTTAAAATAAATCAAACGAGTCTTGTATCTATATAAATCAAATTGGGTTCCATTCCACAAAACACCACTCTTCTGTTTTTGTTCTATCAATCCCAATTCCGAACGGATCCTACAACAGTTAATCTAAAATCCTCGGGTCCAAAATCTTGACGCTGTGACAAGGTAAATTCCTCTCTATTATTTCATCTTTTATGCTTCAGTTTTTCTGTTTGTTATTAACTTAGCCTCCACTAAACCCTAAGTTTAGTCCTTTTTATGTTAATATTCATAGTTTGGGGAAGCAACCTTTACTTTTAATAATAGATGGATAAGTGAATGTTAAATACTGTTTTTGGTTTATTTACGGTTGATGTTTGGTGAGTGCAGTGAAAAAATGGATTCCGTTGATGATTTAAACGGTAGTAATACCCTTGATGAAATGATGGAAGATGGGGCTACTTATTCTCAGGCTGAACCACAAAAACCAGTATGGTGTGAGAGAAAACAAGCTGTGGTACAAGAAGAAGTAAGGAGAATGAATCAATTACCTACAAACAGCACCTATGTTGCTCATCGGCTGAAGGTTCTTAATAAAGTTCTGCAACTTATGTCAGTTCAGGTAAGCCATTCACTCTGTAATACTTAGTAGAGTTTTTAAATCATGTGTTCCTTCTAAAACTGATTAATTGTGTTATACCGTTACCTTGTATATCAGAGAACTCTATCTCAAGAGAAAGAGTTGGAGTTGCTTTTTGCTGGTCTGTCTTTGTAAAAGAATTACAAAATGCAGGGGATTTAACGGAATCATGTGTTCTTGGTGGCTATTAGTGTTAACAACAATCTTGAACCTTTTTGGCTTTCATTTATCCCGGTTGGGTTGCAATCCTTTAACTTGGTCAAATGTTCATAAGGGTTAATTGTGCTTATTTGTAGAATTGAGTGTCTCTCAAACTTCAAGCACAATTTTTAATGTCAAAAGAACATGTATTTGTCGGTTGGAATAATCACCTAATATTTCTTTGTTGAAATAATCAATCTTTGCCAAAGAGGTCATTTTGTTGAACGTTTAAAAGATGCTATACAATAGTAGTATAAATTTTGTCAACAAAAATCATAAATAAATCTTAACCGTCTCCACATGGATTGTTGTTATTTGATCAATACTAAAGAAATTATACTTGAATTTAGAAAAGAAAATGACATAATGCATAGCGTAATTGGTTGGTTTTGTAAACTAAGAAAAAAATTGCATAAAATAATTAACGTGTCAAATATCTAATAAGGAAAACGATTAGGCATGACAAGGTTCAATTCACAATTCAAATTAAGATTTTTAATATGTTGGGACAAAGACAGTAACAATCAAAATAAATGGTCTTCAACAATAATAATCAATAAGCAAAAAATATAATAGAAGAAAATAAGACGAGAAAGGCCAAACGTTTGTTTACCCAATCCAATCAAAAGATATACATTTGAGGAGAGAAAACAACTCTCCAACTTACTAAAAAAAATAGTATTTTCCTTTAGAGTTCCCAAGAACAAACCCTTATTTTTTGTCCAAGTGTTTCCTCTCCAACTCTTAATATATGAATCATTCTAACCCAATGTATCAATAAGTATTATATGATCCTTATAGATATCTCTAAAAAGGTTTTTACCTTATACTCTAAACTCTTATTTCTCCATTTTGCTCTAAAGCTCTTAAATTGTCACCCTATAATAACCAGAAGAGATACATACTTATAATTACTAAAACTCAACATACAAAGTCCAAAACACATCACATTAATGATTAGAATAAAATATTAGAAATACCTTATTATATATTTAATATTAATTTAGATTATTTATAAATTAATATATATTTAATATGCTAACATTAAATAAACGGATCTGCAAACTGAATCGATCAAACTCGATATTCGCGAACCGCTCAAATTGGATATTCTTACTGTTTTTTGGCTTTTTGATTTTTGGCAATCTCAGAATTTTTTATTTCTCTTTGTCACTTAAGATTTTAAAGTGTACTTCAACAATCTTCACCTTGACTTAAAACCGTGGCGATGCCAATTTAACCATCAACTACCTTGTTGCTCTCTACTATATCGAAGCATTATTCAACAATATTCATCAAGTTTTAGATATCCTGAACCTTGATCTCGTCACTTACATCCACTTGTTTTCAATCACATTTTCTACCTAGGTAATCTAACAAGTCCACAAATATGATTCGTCAACCATCATTGACTCCACATGCCTTCAAACGCATCCTTGAAGGTTCCGATTTTAATATTTTGCAACTCTTCAGCCACATTCAAATCATAATATCCAAGGCTAGCATAATCGTCCCTTTGAGATACTACAATCCTCCTCCATACCTTATCACGAGTCAAATAATAATTAGAGATCTAACCGTTCTCTCACTAGTAGTAGTATCTATAGTAGAAAACTCCATCTCAAACTGAGTTCTCTCTTTTATAGTTTCTAAAAGGTTTATCCATTGGTTTTTAATACTCTTTCTCTGAAGAAATTTTCTCTGCCAACCAGTAAGTTTAATTGACATCATCCCTTCGTCAAAAATTCAATAACAACTCAGCGGTCACATGCATTTTCATTCCTTGTTTTCTACAAAATTCATTATACACTTCTGAAACAGCATCAAATCATTCATAAAGCCCGGACCTAAAGTCCAATAGCTCTTTCTTGTCATAAAAGTCTCCACTAGTTAATGATGAATTGTCATCAACGTTTGAACCTTCTAAAATATAAATACCATATATTTTAGACCCTTTAGCAATAATCACTTCATAATGTGAAAGCTTTAACACTCCACGTTCAACTCTAGTGCAATAGCCTAGATCATAAAACATACTTATATATAACAAATTTCGCTTGAGTTTTGGAACATATCTCACGTTGTAAAGAAGAAATTCGCGATCATCAAACATTTTAAGTCTGGTCATATCAATACCACGAACCTTGTAAGCCTTATTATCATCAAGGTGAACTACTCCACATTGCACCAGCTTCAAAGTCTCAAAGTATTCTATTCTTGGACACATGTGATAAGAGAAATCTGAATATATGACCCAACTATCTTCAGTCTCCAAACTTGTTACCTATAGTGCATCAACATTCTCATAACCATCCTCATCCAAGGCAACTTGAACAAAATCATCACTGACCTTTCTCTCAGGACAACTTAAAGTGGTCGAGTTTTTTACAATTAAACCATTTTACCTTTGAGTTTTCAAAACTTTTTGATTTGGACGTCCCTATACGCCAAATTCCTCCTCTTGACACACTTAAGCCTTCATCACTATCTTCAATCTTCAAATCTTTCACCTTTGAAAATTCTTTGGGTTTCACTGCCGTATGAACTTCTTCAAAAATATAATAATACATTTCTTAACATAAAGAAATGCATCCTTAAAGTGCTCAAAGGATCTGGGCAATGAACTCAACAAGAGTAGAGTCTTGTCCTCATCATTAATCTTTACCTCAATATTATCAAGATCGTCAATAATCTTGTAAAATGATGTAAGCTGCTCCACTACGAATTTGTTCTTCGCCATTTGAAATGAGTAGAATTGTTTTTTCAAATACAACATGTTAACAAAAGATTTGGTTATATACAATGATTCAAGTTTTGTCCATATCGAAGCAGTAGTCTTTTCTCTGACGACTTCTCTTAAAACTTTATCCTCGAGCCACAAGATAATGGATCTCTTGACTTTATCCAGCATCTCAATCTTTTTTTCTGGTGTAAGCCTTGCAGGAATCAATGTTTATCCCTTCAAAGCTTCAATACACTTCTCTTAAGTTAAAATTGTTTGCATCTTTATTTTCCACAATCTAAAATCGTTGTCTTCGGAAAATTTTGCAATCTTCCATTTAGCCATGGTGCTCTAAAAGGTTTTTCCCTTAAAACCTAAACCCTTATTTCTCCCATTTGCTCTAAAACTCTAAAACTGTCACCTTATAATAACCAGAATAGATACATATTTATAATTACTAAAACCCAACATACAAAGTCCAAAACACAAATCACTAATTATTAGAATAAAATATTATAAATATCTTATTATATATTTTATATTAATTTAGACTATTTCTAAATTAATATATATATATATAATATTCTAATATTAAATAAACGGATTGAATTGGTTAAACCCGATATTCGCAAACCGTCTAAACCAGATATTCTTGTTGTTTTTTAATTTTTTTAATTTTTGACAATCTCGAAATGTGTTTTTCTATTCATCACTTGAAGTTTTAAGTTGATAAGGTTGACCATTCAGACCTTCAGTCTAAATGATCAATTGCACACAGGTAGAAGAAATGATCATGTGCGTCAGAGTCAACAAGTTGGACTAAATTATCATATGCACCCAGAAAGAAGAATCGATCATTTGCCCACAGAGAAAGTGAATGATCCTTTAAGCATAAATCAATAAGGCTAACCATCTGTTCTAAGGCTAATACAACTATCTACACCTCAAACAAAGAAGGACCATGACCATATGTACCCAGACAAATAAGCACCATTCAAGAGCATGGAGAAGGGGATTAGATATTTATTTTAATTTATTTTATAATAGTTTTATTTAGTTTTAATTTGTGATTTTAATAGTTTTAATTTATAATAAGTTGATGTTTGTTTCCCATCACTTATTTTAAGAAAATATTATGTAACCTAACATAGGTCTAGAAAATGGTATTTATGGTTAATTTATGCTTAGGAGAACTCTTATGATAAATACGCATTTTGTAACTTCATTTGGATAAGTCTAAAATAAATTAAGTTTTCTCTCTTATGAGAATGATGGGTGAGCCACATCTCATCATATTTTAAACACCTCTTATTAATTATAATGTGATTTTTCTATTTGTGAGTTTCAATTAAATTCATATTTTAAACACTAAAAAAAACACTTCTTATTAATCTGATTTTGTGGGTTAGATTATAATTCTCTACTATTTGTTATGGATATAAATACTCTCGTCACTACTATAAACAATATAAAAAAAATTATATATTTAATATATAATAATAATCGAATGCATCTTTTATTCAATTAATATAAAAAGCGTTTTTTTTTTTCTTTCTTAAAGTAGTAACCATGTGTAATTCATAAAATTACTATAGAATTTGATATATTATATTTTTAAAAGGACAAAAGAAAATACTCCTAAAACGCCTTATAGAATCATCCGGAAAAAGTAATCATAACATAACGCACCGAAAAGAACGCGTACCAAAGGGAAGAAAAAGTCCTTCCCTTCTTTCCTCACTCGTCATCTTCCTCTGCAACCTAACAGAAATCCCCAAATCCATTCTCGCAAACCCCATCTCCAAACCCTAACCCTAACCCGATCGCCTCAAATCAAGACCCATCGATGTGGGCTGCTTCGTGCTTGGCGTCATGCTGCGCCGCCTGCGCATGCGACGCTTGCAGGACCGTCGTTTCCGGAATCAGCCGTCGTTCAGCCAGGATCGCTTACTGCGGTCTCTTCGCTCTTTCCCTCTTCGTTGCTTGGATCCTCCGTGAAGTCGCTGCTCCTCTCATGGAATCAATTCCCTGTAACTATTCCATCCTTCAAACCCTAATTCTTTTTCATTCTTTCTAATTTCGAATTATGAAATTAAATTCTTTATTCTGGAATTCGAGGATTGTTTGTAACACACCTCTTCAGAAATTATCAATCTGTTTGTTTCATTTCAAATGTTTAACTTTTTAAATATTGTTTTAATTGGAAATTGTGATGCTGTAAAATTCCCATGTTTCATTTAGTGTGTTTTGGTTCTACGGTGAAAAGAATTGATTTTAAATGAATTCATTCTTGTGTATGTTTGGTTAAGCTGCGAGAAGAATTGATTTTGAGTGAATCAATTGGTTATGGTTAAAAGTGAGTTAGATGTAAAACGATTTATGTTTGACTAAATTTATGTAAAAGAGACTTGAACGAATTTCAATGTAAAAATTACGTTTGTAGTTTTAAGTAGAATAAATTCTACTTCAGAAGAACCAAACACCTAAAAATCATTTCAAAATCAATTCTACACTTCTAAAATTGCTTTTGGCCCTTCCAAAAGCTAAACCAAACATACACATAATTGATTCTAGCGTATAAAATTGATTCTAGCTAAAAGTTAGTTGAAGGTAAAGTGATTTATGTTTGGATAAATTTATGTAGAAGTGAGTTAAACAGTAAAAATCACATTTAAACTCAAAAGTTACAAATTATACCTTCAAGTAGAATCTATTCTGGAAGCAGAATCAATTATGCAATTGAAGAACTAAACACTTCAAAATCAATTCTACATCTCTAGAATTACTTTTGGCTTTTACACAAATTTTTTAATTATTTATTCCCTCCCTGAGCTGGTCTTCTGTTGCAAGTTAAAAGTATGTTTCATATGGAGTACAAGTTAATGTAGTGAATTTAATTCTTAGATGAGGATATAATTGGGTTATTATGGACTTGAGGATGAAGCTAATGTATTTGAATAATGGTGCAGGGATTAATCACTTTAAACAAACTCCTAGCCGGGAGTGGTTTGAGACAGATGCAGTTCTGCGTGTTAGCTTTGGAAACTTTCTGTTCTTCACTATTCTGGCTACTATGATGGTTGGTGTCAAAACTCAGAAGGATCCTCGTGATGGCTTGCATCATGGGGGTTGGATGATGAAAATCATCTGTTGGTGTCTAATGGTTATCCTTACGTTTTTTCTTCCTAATGAGTTCATCAGCTTTTATGGTGAGAATGCTTTTGAATGTTGAAATGGATTTGTTTTAGTTAATTCCATGTGTATTGAGTTTCATGTTGTTGATACAATCATCAAATTTGATTCAAAGAGGAATATTGTAGAGATGTGTTTTCCTATGCATTTGACACATGATTTTGTTTATGTGGGTGATGATTTTTGTTTATTTGCAGAAACAATATCAAAGTTTGGCTCTGGTTTGTTTCTTCTCGTTCAAGTTGTGCTCTTGTTGGATTTTGTTCATGGATGGAATGACAAATGGGTTGGATTTGATGAACAATTCTGGTCAGTTTTAGGCTTTGCTATACTATTCTACTTCTGTAACATAGTTTCCTTTACTTGATATTATATGTTTTAATGTCATTTCACTATTTCAGTGTTTAATTGTTTCTTTCTTGAAACAGGTATGTTGCCTTATTTGTTGTTTCACTTGTTTGTTATGTTGCCACACTAGTATTTTCGGGAGTTCTCTTTCACTTCTTCACACCATCTGGACAAGACTGTGGAATCAATACCTTTTTTATTACTATGACCCTGTTGCTGGCATTTGTTTTTGCTATAGTAGCTTTGCACCCTGCGGTAAGTTCATTTATTGAATTTCACTGTATCTAACTTCTCAAAATTGATTTCCTTGTTTTTCATTTGTAGAATGTCACCATTGTTGTTTTTATGTTATGAAATTGAATTGTCATTGATTGGAAGTTGTAAATGATACATTTTCCACTTGATAAAACTTATGCACATTGTGAAAATGTGACTGCATATAGATATTCAACTATAACCTGTTAGTTAGTATAAAATATATTTTGTATCTGCTTTGTCTTGGTTATATGTTTCTAATGGAATGTTAAGTTGTTTATTATGATTTATGATGATACATAGTATATTATATTCTTCTTTTTGTAAACTTGCCGTGAAGTATCAATTGCTGCTGGGCCTTATTTTAGCTAGAAATTGCTTTTATTTAGTAAAATATAGACTGTTCATGACTCATTGGACCCATTCTCGTTGACAGGTAAATGGAAGCATTTTGCCTGCTTCAGTAATATCGTTATACTGCACTTATCTTTGCTATAGTGCACTAGCTAGTGAACCCAGAGATTATGCATGCAATGGTCTCCACAAACACTCAAAAGCAGTTTCCACTGGCTCTCTTACTTTGGGATTAGTCACAACTGTTCTATCAGTTGTGTATTCTGCTGTGCGTGCTGGATCTTCTGCTACAGTGCTTTCCCCACCAAGTTCTCCTCGTGCTGGTAAACTATCAAAACCCAATGGTTCTTTATTTCGTCGAGATATGCTAAATTCACAGGTCTAGACAACTGATATCTGAACTTGAAATCTATTAATATATGTGGCCATGAAGTGTCGTTTTGAATTTTAGTGCTATGAATTGTCATGTTAATTGATTAGCAACAATTTCCTATGCAAATAATACTGACAATCTGCCATTTCTGGTTATTCTGCAGGGAAGCCCTTGCTTCCATTGGATGTTACGGAGGAAGAAAGTAATGAGAAAGCAAAGCCGGTTTCATATTCATATGCCTTCTTCCACTTGATTTTCTCTCTTGCTAGCATGTATTCTGCAATGCTTCTGACAGGTTGGTCTACCTCTGTTGGAGAGAGTGGTAAGTTGGTTGATGTGGGGTGGCCTTCAGTTTGGGTTCGGATTGTCACTTGCTGGGCAACTGCTCTGCTATACTTATGGTCTCTTGTAGCTCCTATCATGTTCCCTGAGAGGGAGTTCTGAGTGGGTTGCTCCTCAATTTCTCATGGTTCTGATGAAGGTTGTGTGTAACGTAATTACTATGCATTTGTTTGAAGTTGTGCAGTGTATATCACATAAAATGCATCTATGTCCACAAACATGGCAATGAAGTATGTTATGAATGACAATTCCAATTGGCTTGTTTTAATTGTATAGTGAAATTTGTACCCTGAATAAATATATATGTGACTATATAGTTTATGTATGCATCTTCCATTACAGTTTCACATACAGATTGGACATGTTTTCTACTATCCATGTTTAAACAAGAAATGTGTTTGGTTGCTACATATGTTTTCTACTAATCCTTTCTAATAGAGTAATCATATAGCTGTTTGTTTATAATAGTTAATTGTAGTTTGTAATAGATATATTCTACAGTTAGATTAGCTTGATGAGTTGCTGGTGACCGCTGTCACTGCAGCCTCTATATAACAATCTAATTGTAACAAACTCATCTAAGAGAGTTTCTATTGAATCAATAACAAACAATTATTATCTCTCCATGTTCAGTTTATCTTTCTCTATTATGGTATCATTTCTCTATTATGGTATCATGAGCTTATGATCCATGGCGTCTCATGTAAATTCATCGTCCGCTTCGAATAATGAAAACTCATCGTTGCAACAACCAATTTCGTCTACTCTGAAGAATGCATTCGAGACGTTCGCACATCAGATTAGCATCAAACTTGATAACAACAACTTTCTTTCATGGAAGCAGCAAGTTGAAGGTATCATTCACATTCACAAGCTTCATCAGCATCTCATGAATCCGATGATTCCTCCGCGTTTTCTCACGACGGCGGATCGTGAATCTGACTTTGAGAATCCGGCGTATCACGTTTGGTATCAAGAGGATTCTCTTCTCTTCACGTGGCTCGTTTTTCCTTGTGTCGTCAAGTGTGTTCATGCTCATGAAGTGTGGTCCACCATCGATCAATTTCAGAGAACACAGATCTATGCGAAATCGCGCCAGCTTAGGTATGAGCTTCGTACTATGCAGAAAGGAGATCATACGATTACGTAATATCTCAGTCGCATTTAATAAATCGTTGATATCTTGGAGTCAATTGGTGATCCGGTGTCACACCATGATCAATTGGAAACGATCGTCAATGGTTTGCCATCGGAGTATCAAGCCCTAACTTCGATTATTCAGAGACGAACATTGTGATATTGTTGTTGCTGAAACAATGCTTCTTTCTCATGAAGCAAGGCTGGATCATACTCCTCGTGTTGCATCTCAAGATTCTCTCTCTGTTAATGTCACTTGTAACGCCCGTAATTTAATTAATTAATTATTTAATTAAATTATTTTTGAATTATTTGTGAAGTTGCGAGATGTTGTGAATTATTGGTATGAGTTGTTGGATTATTATTACTTAATTAATTAGTTGATTAAATAATAATTATATCATTGAAATTAAGAGAATATATATATATATATATATATATATATATATATATATATATATATATATATATATATATATATATATATATATATATATATATATATATATATTGAACTTAAGCTATTGATTGCAAGTAGTAAAACGGAGGTGTGTAGGTTAGGCCCAATAGGATTGATATATAAAACTAAGTTGACACAAGGGTTTGTTTTTAGTTGGAGAATAACAAGCCCTGTACGTTGACCGAAAGAGCTGTGCGGAAGAGGAGCAAGTTGTTCAGTGTCGAGTAAAGCAAATCAAGGATTACGACCGAAGTTTTGGTTGAGCGACCTTCAATCCAGGTAAGGGTGGGGTTCTGACCTTATAATGGGATTTATGATGTTTGTTATGGAGAATTGATCATAATTATGATTGTTGCCCGTGATGTTGCTGAACCTATTAAGGGAAGATGTCCGTTCTGTTATGTTGTGGACGTTTTGAGTTATGTGATTTCCCGATAGAATCGATGATTAAGTGAGTGTAGTTTATCACTGGTTGTCGTGGTCGTTATGTTGTTGTGGTCGTTATAATATTGTAGTGTTCCGAGCAATTGGCAGGAAATTAGGAATGGTTGTTGTGGTCGTATTACGAGGGTTATGCGTAACGGTCTTATGCAATGAAGGAATCTGTCGATAGGAAATATAGTTGCCCGTTACTATGTTATTTCGAGCGGTTGGCCGGAAACTTTGAATTGTAGTGATGTGGTCGTTAAAGACGTTATGTTGTATCTGTGATGTTGGCCTCACTAGTGGTCGAGGAGGATGCTGATCGTGTTAGGTACCGAGCGACATATTAGGCTACGAGGCGTGTCGGGGGTATGTGTTGGATTGTCGAGCAGTACTAGGTTGTAGAACATGTCGAGGAGCATAAGTTGGTCGTTACCCTGTCTTCTATGTGCGTGTCGAGGAGTATGAATTATTTATCATGTTGTCCTAGTTGCTATGCATGTCAAGGGGCACGTAGTTCCCTATCCCTTTTTGCCCGTACATACTGTGTTTTGGTCGTTAACCTTGCTGTGTGAATTAATGTTAAGTTGTTAATTGATTATGTTAATGATTGAATTGTTGATTGATGTGATAGGCTTATGGCCAATGTTGATTTATATTGAGTTGTTGCGTTGTTGTGATTTCTATTGTGAATTCTTGTTGATAATGTGAAGTTGCAGGGAATTTTAAATGATGATGAATTATCTCTATTTACTGGTAATAATGGTGATGTGGGCTTATGCCTTACGATGGATGATGATTATTGTGAGTATGTGATAGTGCATTCATATACATTTGCATACTCTGTGATGGTCTGGATTGGCAAACTGCGAAGAAGGCTTATGCCTTGTTGACGCCTCTATTTATTGACAGATTTTAAGATGGGAGTTCTGCTCCAATGGTACCACATGCACTGGCATAATATTGAGTCGCATTCCAAGTTGTATAATTGAGCTGTTGTGTTGATGAATTAATTGTATTTTGTTGATATCCGGTTGTGATTGTTGTTGTTTATAAGTCGTGAATTGGCGATTTTGCATGAACTGATTCTAATATAATATTTCATATGTTCTATTATAGTGTTCGATATCTCACACCTTATGTTTGAATGTTACCCTTATGTTGGTAACGTGCAGGTAATCTAGAGTGAAGGCGATTTACCTTCAGTAGTTCGAGTCGGTGTCATTGCTTTGATACGTAACACTCGGGGAAGATGAACGCTTGTTGTTTATTTATCGTTGTTATTTCATTTGTTGAACTTTAAGTTGATTGTTGTTAAGTACTTGTTATTCAAAAGTTGCTTTAATGTTGGATAAAGATATTATTATGATTCCGCTGCGTAGTTGTTCAAGTTGTTGGTTCATCAGAAGTTTTAAAGTGTTATGTACCCATGTTGAATGCAATGGTTTTTAAGTTGAATTTGTGGCATCCTGATTCAGTTGTATAATTTTGATAACTCTGATTTACATTTATATTTGTCGGGTTGAATTGGGGTGTTACAAAGTTGGTATCAGAGCAAAGTCGGTCCGTCCGACCAAGTTGTCGAGTCGTAGCTTTGTTTAATAATCGAGTATTATTACCTTGAGTTCTAACCGTTATTTATGTTGTAGTTATAAGTTGAGATGGCTGGAAGGAATGATGTTGCACTTGCTGCTGCTTTAGAAGCAATGGCGCCTGTTATGGAGAATCAGTCGAATGCTGACGGGAATGCTGGATCTCGTAGTTTGGCGACTTTCTAGAGGGAGAATCCGTCTACATTCAAGGGAAAGTATGATCCCGATGGAGCATTGGATTGGTTGAAAGAGATTGAGAGGATCTTCCATGTGATGGACTGCACTCCAACGCAAAAAGTTCGATATAGTACTCATATGCTAGCAGTTGAAGTTGATGACTGGTGGTTAGAGACGTGTCAGAGGTTGGAAGCTGCAGGTGAAAATGTCACTTGGGTTGTGTTCCATAGAGAATTTCTGAGGAAGTATTTCCCTGAAGACGTTCGTGGTAAGAAGGAAATTGAGTTCCTTGAGCTGAAGCAAGGGAATATGTCGTTGTTGAGTATGCTGTAAAGTTTGTTGAGTTGGCTAAGTTTTATCCGCACTATAGTGAGGCTAATGCTGAGTTTTCTAAGTGCATCAAGTTTGAGAACGGATTGCACCCAGATCAAGAAGGCAGTTGGATACCAGAAGATCCGTGTCTTTGCTGATTTGATTGATAGTTGCAGAATTTATGAAGAGGATAATAATGCTCATTACAAGATTATCAGTGAGAAGATGGGTAAGCACCAACATAATCGTGGTAAGCCTTATGATGCCCCAGTTGGTAAAGGTAAACAGAAGGTTGCTCAGGGTCAGAAGACTAGTGGGGGAGATGCTCCTACTGGTGTAGTTTGTTCCAAGTGTGGAAAACCTGGGCATGAGAGTAATGTGTGTACTGCTGAGGTAAAAAGGTGTTTCTGTTGTGGTAAGACTGGACATATTGTATCTGAGTGTAAGCATAAGGAGATGATTTGTTTTAATTATGGTAAAGAAGGACACATTGGTAGTCAGTGTCAGAAACCAAAGAAGGCGCAAACCAGTGATAAAGTGTTTGCTTTGGTTGAGGATCAGGTAGCTACTGAGGACAAACTCATAAGAGGTACATGTTTCATTAATAGTATTCCTTTAATTACTATTATTGATACTGGTGCTACTCATTGCTTTATTACTGTTGATTGTATTGAAACATTGGGTCTTATGTTGTTTTCTATGAATGGAGAGATGGTCGTCGACACTCCAGCCAAGGGGTCGGTGACTACTTTTTTTGTGTGTTCAAAGTTTCCTTTGTCGATTTTCGACAGAGACTTTGCTGTTGATTTGGTTTGTTTTCCTTTAAGAGGGTTGGATGTGATTTTGAGTATGAACTGGTTAGAGCATAACTATGTTCATATTAGCTGTTATAACAAGTTTGTGAGGTTTTCTACTCCTGAAGAAGAGGAAGATAGTCTGTTGTCTGCTAGACAGTTGCGGCAGTTGATGCAAGAAGAAGCTCAGATATTCTCGTTGATGGC